AGACAGACAGACAGACAGACAGACAGACAGACAGACAGACAGACAGACAGACAGACAGACAGACAGACATACAGACAGACAGACAGACAGACAGACAGACAGACAGACAGAGATAGAGACAAAGACAGAGACAGAGACAGAGAAACACTCACACACACACACACGCACACAGAAACACAACCACACACATACACACACATGCACACACGCACACACATGCACTTGCATGACCACGTACGTGCTGGAATAGGGTGGAGATGGCGGCTGTTGCCTGTGGCTTGCGACCGATGAGGAGGACCCCTGTTGTGTTCTGGTCCAGCCGATGCAAGAGCCTTGGCTCATCGTTGTGCTTGAGTTGGAGCAAGTGCAGGTTGTTCAGCAGCGTGTTGTCACTCTGCAACTCATCCTGCACTGACAAACTTCGCCACTTGTTCAGAGCAATCACATTGTGATCCTGTGCAGTGGAGAGCAGTTCTTGTTGTTGAGACACGAAGAGCGGGCGCGCAATGTGTGTCGGGGGGGGGGGGGAGGAGACAGAGAGAAATAGACGGAGACAGACAGACGGAGACAGAGAGCGAGACACACACACATGTATTCACTCAAACACACACATTGACACAAACAAAACCACACACACACACACACACACACATTGACACACACATCCATCCACACACACATACATACACACATCCACACACATCCATTCACATCCATTCACACATTCACACAAATACGCACCTGGTACAGCACAGCACGCAGCAGCCCTCGTCGCGAAATCACGCTGGTGGCGCTCATCATCCTCCGTTCGTGCCGAATTTTCAATGAAGATATACACAGTTTATCCACAACCACAACCATCAACCACAACAACAACAACGACCACAACAAACAACAACTGCCACACCCTCCTTCACTTTCCACGTTGCTTCCCCCTCCCACTCACCCACTCCACAGGGGCCATCATCTGACAAGATGATGGCAGCACGTGTTTCCGCGCGTGCTCTACCGACCATCCTCTGCGCTCTTCTCGCAGGTGAGTCAGGATGACACGTTGAAAGAGAAAGACAGCTCTATTGTTTGGTATCTCCTTGTTGCACGGGGTGTGGCGTTTGTTCGTCGTCCGCGTTGCTTTTCACTGTTGTTTGAGTTGGTTCTCCCCAAGACCCTCACACTACTCACACACACACACACATGCACACACACATACACACATACACACATACACATACACACACATATACACACAAACACATACTTTCATAAACACACACACACAAACCCAACAAAAGCTGCTGGGGCGTGCTTGGCTTGTGAGATTGTTGTGACACCGGAATCACCAAGCATGGACGAGAACAGCCCCGCGGGAACCGTGCTGGCGACCGTGGAGCTGGTGGGTGGGGCATCCGGCGACTCCCTGACATACATCCGGCCAAACGGACTCACCCTCAACGGAAACAACGAGCTGGTCGTGGAGGAAGAGGGCGTCGTCAACGTGGAGTCTGGCACCATGTTTCCGTCGTTCTCCGTGCGCATCAGTGCCATGTGCACGGATATTGACATTGAGGTGACGGTGACAGACTCCAACGACCCGCCAACAGCCATCCTGTTTGATGGAGAGACCATTCCTGGTCCGCCCACGCCTCTCAGTGCGTGCTTGGTGTTCCCCGAGGACACGAACACGCATCTCATTGAGCTGAGCACCGTGGACGAAGACATCAACCAGGACCACGTCTACACGCTCTCGGGGCCCGACGCCGCGCTGTTTGCTGTTGTGGGCGGCGCACACCTTGGACTTGCCGCTGCCATTGACTATGAGAAGCACGCAAACCACGTCTTCAACGTCACCGTGACCTCCACAGACCAGGCCTTCACGGGCCAACATGGCGGTGCTGTGGCGGGTGGCCTGCAGGTGTCGCAGGAGGTGTGCGTGCGCATCGCAGACATGAACGAGCGACCCATGTTCTCGCAGCCCGTGTATGACGAGTCGGCCATCACCATCCTGGGGCGCGCGTTTGCGTTGCCGCTGAACGTATCAGACCCCGACATCAACGCGACGCTCTCCTTCACCGTCATCAACGCCACCCGCCTCCTTCCACCATCTCCCATTGTCAGCAACAGCAGCACACCCACTGCCACGGCAAGCCCGACCGTGAATGGCACTGTGACCACAAACTCCACCTCAATCACCAACAGCACCACCACCACCAGCAACAGCACCTCCACGGTTGCGATGATGAACACAACAGAAACAACAACAATGGTCAGCACAGAGGTGGCAGTGGAAGCGAGATTTGTGGATGCCACAGACTTCATTCCCATCTACTCCCCATCGCTACCATCATCGTCATCATCGTCATCACAGTCCATCATGATGCCGCTGCTGTATGTGAACAACGTCTCTCTTGGATGGAATGACCTGCGTGTGTATGTGCATGTGGAGGACGAGGGAAGGCTTTCGACTGAAGCCCTGCTGCGGTTGAACCTGACTGTCTTGCCTGTGCCGCCCGCAACAACAACAATGTTTGTGCTCTTCAACGCCACCACCTCCACCACAACCACAATCACGACCACGACGACCACAACCACAACAACAACGACCACAACAACAGCAGCGCGTGCAGCGAGCGCATCGTCATGGACGAAGAACGGGGTGACGGTTGCGGCGGTGATGATTGCGCTCGTGCTCGTCATTGCGCTGCTGCTGTACATTGTGCGCATCACCAACAACACGCAGGCAGCGACGCTGCAGCACAAGCGGTTCAAGATGATGGCCACAGCAGCCATGCGGGGGAAGATTGGCAAGAACAGGCGTCGTGGTGGTGGTGGTGGTGGTGGCACTGATAGTGGCAGCGACAGCGACAGCGACAGCATTGGCAGTGGCAGCAGCGAGAGTGATAGTGATGACGATGTGGTGATCAACGTCGGGATGCGACCCGGCAACGTGTTGGAGATGCAGCTCCTCAGCCCTTCTTCACAGCAGGTGCGTGTGTGTGTGTGTGTGTGTGTGTGTGTGTGTGTGTGTGTGTGTGTGTGTGTGTGTG